GCCGTTGAGTCTTGCTCCCCGGGGCGTGGGTGCCCGGTCGTCTGTAGCCAATCGGTGAACTGGTGAAGTTTGATTGGCTACGTTTCACAAGAGGAGCGGCTCATATAACGAGCTCGGTGCCGGAAAGGATTAAACTGGATAACTGAGGTCCCACTCTATTTGGGTTGAGAAAATCAGTCACTTTTTCTGTTGTCGTCTAGGAAAACACCTTTTTCACGCAAACCCAAGACAGTTAGACGATGAGAGATAAGGTGGGGGGAAGCGCAGGTAATGGAAGTGCAACTGACCTTGAGCATTTCAGCCGCCTCCCGTCGCCGTTGGGCAACATGTTCGCTCTCCTTCAGGAGTTCGTCACACTCCTCGCTCTTGTATAACTTGCTCACTAACTCTGATTGCAGGTTGTCCTTCACGTAGTTCACCAAAAAGTTCATAATAGCCTTGGGCACCGTATCGAGGATATTTTTACGAACAATCTGGAAGTAGGAGTGTATGAGCTGACCTAAAAAGACCAAAAAAAACAAGCGATCTGGGTGAGAAGTCGTGGAATTCAAGCAGGCAGCCAGTACATAAATAATCAACGACATATGCTAAATACTCTGGCTGACTTTCGTTACAGCCTGACTCGCAAGTAGTCAAAGGGCATTGTTGATTGAAAAGAATGCAGAACAGCCGGATGCCAGTTCATTTTTAACTGATGTGGATAACTTAAAGAGTCAGACTGCAAACGCCTGATCATTTATGTGATCTTTTACTTGTACTGGTTACGACTGCGATCAGGACTGATCTAGCCGGCCTAAATACTTTCCTAAATGGTACTTTTCCACGCGCGACGATCCGTGGCATTAGACCTAGACAAAACAGTTTAATCCCTTCGCCAACGCCGGAGGCCGAATACCGAAGGCCCAAAAACCACTCCCCTGTACTGACGGACTGAGTCGAGATAGGTTTTAAACTGACTCCCTCTTCGACGTCTTCAGCTGAGTAACGGCGTCGGATCAAGGGCAGTAAGTTAAGGATTGCTTATAAGTTACGCCGTATTTTACTATACATAACCAATAACTTATTTCGTTGTAATTTAATTTAGTTTTATTAACGAAAAATGCATGAGGAGCTATTGTGAAAAGATGGGAAAAACCCATCGATATAGAGTCGATATACGACTGTGGCTAATTCGTGGGTACTAGTTGCGCAGTTCCCTTTTCCTATTGGTTGAATTTCTCCCTTGAATTATCACGCGCTTTTTGTTGTCAAAAATTAGGTTATTTCAATAATTGTTCTTATTATTAACTATATTCATACGCGCTAATTTTTAAATTATTTTCTTGCCTCTGATGTGCTCCCCCCCCCACACCCATATGACCCCCTATTAGCATCGGCCCCGTATTACACAGAGGAGTTTTTGTTACTTCGGTGTTACTTATAAGTAATCCTTACCGGCAGTAAAGCTGGGCTCCCTATGTGGTCCCCATGACAAAGCTTCCTTGAGATCTGAGGACCGATCGTTTGAACGTGGTGGATAGGGAACGCAGTTGGGTGCTGTGGAGTTCTATGCCAAAACAATCCTATGCACGCGCAGTGTACTATTCTATCCCCGGGGTAGGCAACGCTCGAGTCCTCGTAGTCGGCAGGTTGACGTCACCACCCATGTTGTAACGTGCTAAAAGCCGTTAGATGGTTTGGTTTCTGAGGGTACAAGCAACCCAAGCTTGAGTGTACAAGTTAACTCACTGCACCAAGCTACCACCTTATC